GTCTGGCTAAAACAAGGCCTGGTCGGCTCGGAGTCAGTAAACTGTGTCTGAGTGGGGTATTCATGTTAAACTGTAGTATGGCATCTCAGTTAGCTAGCACTATAAATCGGCATCAGTCGGACTAGTACAAGCAGCACACACACATGCATGTGCGTCGCTATGTAAGTACAATAATCTTGGACACAACGTTAAACCCCATTTCACCTCACCTCAAATATAGAAATACCGGTACACACATGGCATTTCTTTTTGTCTGTAGATACTTGGAAGTCACAAGATAATGTGAGTCTGGGTGTTTTGTAGTAAGGCAGGCAGGCATGAAATTCTAATAATTAATTTATCATTGCCTAATAATATTCTATCAGAAGCGTTGCCATTAATAACATGTTCATTTTCTATTGAAGCTGTTTCAATGGTTTAACATTTCATGTGGTCACCCACTGAGCAAGACAACATTTATCGTGGTTAGTTTGCTGGATTTATTAAAGGCACTTCTATAATTAGCTTTATTGTCACATTAGGTGATTGTTTAACCTAGAGAATGGCAAATTATGGTCTTCATGGTGGTGGTTGTGAAATGTAAGTGTGACGTGGTATTAAGTCTATTTCTATCAGTTCTATCCAACTCGCCATTTAAATTTAAGCCTTTCCAATACACGCTCATGTTCGTGCAAGCCTTAAAGGGAATGTCTTCAGTACAGACTGATGAGTATGGCAGTGTATTTGGGAAGATGTACCAGCAGTGTTTGGTGCAGGGATCCTGGTGGTTTCCTTGTGTAGTATGTGAATCTAGGGACTGACTCAATCTTTAACTATTAACATTGGGATATCACAGGGACACCTTGACTAACATGCTTCGTTTGTAACTCTGATGTAACTCTTAATACAGAGGTCCAGATAAGCTTTTGGTGTTGTGGGTATTTTACCCATGCATTTTAAAATCATTGGGTATCAGTAATTCTTATGGGTATTCAAATTTCTGTTACCCGCTAGTTTTTACACATGTGGGTATTCAAGTTAAATATTTAAAAACACTATTCATCTAGTCCCTGCAAACTGGTGTCGTGTGGGTTCGAGAGCTTTATAGGATGATACCACGATTCTTCCACAAGAAAGTGTGATGGCAAATGATCATGATGTAAGTGTCATCGTGGAGTTTGGCAAGGTTGACGGAATGCCCGTTATAATTTCAAAATAAGTTGCTGATTTGCTAATCGAATACGCAGGTTACTTCACAATATTTTGATGATACGCACAAGTTTTATTTTTGTAGCATATCTGTAATGTTCGTTGCGTATTTGATACGCTTGGATTTTATTTTACTGCCTATTTCTGCATTTCTGATGCGTATTTTCCGCACATACGCGGCTTATCTGGAGCTCTGGTAATTAATATGTGCTCATTATTTTGTCTGTTGATTTTGTATGCAACTGCATACCTTGCCATTTCTCAGCCGCAAATACACGGTATGGTAAGTGGAAGATCCGGGGTAGAATAGGTCTTCACCAACCCATGCTTGCCATAACAGGCGACTATACATGTTGTAAGAGACAACTAACGGATCGGTGGTCAGGCTTGCAGACTTGGTTCATGCATGTCATCGTATCTCAATTGCGTTGATCGATGCTCATGATGTCAATCAATTTATTGTCTGGTCCAGACTCGATTATTTACACCTGCTGTCATATAGCTGGAATTTTGCTGAGTGTGGGATTAAACAACAAACAAACAAACAAAACAAAACAAACAAAACCACAGATACCCACTTATGGCAACGATATGGTCAAGGGGAAATAACTCTTGATATATTGAAGCGTTGATGAGGATAAAATCTTCTCAAGCTCTGTGACAGTACAGTAATATGTAGATGAAGTTCTCATCAACTTTAATGTTATTTTTATTTGAAACTTGTTTCATTCTTCCTTTACTATACAAGTATGCTTACAAAGTCATCAGCGATTTTTCATTTCAAGATCCTGCATTTTTCATAAATTCATGTGGATTTATTTTTAAGAAGGAAATTTACCTCAATCAATTTAATGTTTATCATTTATATGCAATTTTAGTAGAATGAAGAAATAGTAAAAATTGGAATGATATTAAGAATTATTGAAAGTGAAAATACAATTTGTGGCAATGCTATTATGCTTTAATGATGTGAGTCAGTTTGTGAATGTCAGCTTCAGAAGTAGAGTCTCGGTTGACTTGCGTTCCACAATCATAGCCTGGGCTCTTTCTGCGTGGATATTAACAATTCAAATACCCATTATACTCAAGCTGCATGTGTTTGGGTACGATGTAAAGTAGTCTTTTTTTATGGCTCAATAAAAATTTCGCAGTTACGCCAGATAAATAATTAATGAAGTGCATGATTTAGCACTATTTGCTTCTACTGTTGAGGCTGGGTGAACACAAGGTTAATGTGAAGATCAGGTGCAGCATGGGATGATTATCTAGAAACCATGGCAACAAAACAGTTCACATGAATGTGTAAATGATGTCATTTTTCATGGACTAACGGTCAGAGCTAGGGCTGGTACGAGCCCGAATTTACTACCCCGGTTCCCACCCTCCTATTACCCGACCCTACACCACTGTAGGTCTCAAGAGATAGGTACAAAATGTCCGATTGGGCATTTTGTTACCATAGCACTGGCAAAACATATCTAGATACATGTATTAACAATCTGGTCATGCATACACTCAGTTATATCTTTATTCAAAGATATGAAAAATCAGAAGTAATGTTAACATTTGTGACTTGTAGTGTAACCATAGAGTTCTAGATACTTTTTTGTCATAAAATAATATATCACGTGACTAACCACAGGTCCGGGTAGTCCTGTGGGTACCCGGGTCCTACTAAGTACCCAACCGACCCGGGTACCCGAGTTACCCGTCCCAGCCCTAGTCAGAGCCAGTTTTTACATGTAGTCCATTTGTATGAATAGACTATGCCCTTTAGAAAGTGGTCAAATGTTGCATGTTATATTTAGGATAACACTTCCTTAGTGAAGTACAAATTCTTGTCTTGAGTAGAGGCCAGCACAGAGAGTCAGCGATCTAACCGACTCATTCACCGAGGCTTCCACAGAAATGAAAGTCTGTCAACTGATAGTCAAGATCGCATACTCTGTGTACCCCTCTGATAAGTGTAAATTGTAACCCCAAATATAACATATGCTACATTTAACCATTTTCTATAAGGCATTGTCTATTCATAGCTCTTGGCCACCGAAACCATGCCAATTTACACATATCAGAGGGTAAACAAAGTATGTGATCTAGACTAAAGTATGTGATGCATTTAATTTTAAGGAGCATGTATGACTATGAGTCATGCATATGCATGAAAACTAACTTTTGTACGACAGAGACATTTAATACCACATCAGGTGTGCAACAAGGCTGCATCCTGAGTCCACTACTTTTCATTTTCTTTATAAATGAACTTGTTTATGCTATTTATGAGAAATACAGTAATGGGATATTTTTAACGCAAGAAATTAAGGATCTACTCTTACTTATATTTGCTGATGATATAGTTATGTTTTCTTACACAGTGAATGGTCTACAAAAGCAGCCGAATGCTTTACAGCAGTTTTGTGACACTTGGGGGCTAGGCTTGAACTTAACCTAGTCATAAAGTCATATTTACATGTAGTTGTATTTAGAAATGGTGGTAAAGTTGCACAAAAGGAAAAATGGTCATTTCGTAATGTAAATATGAGAGTTGTTTCCTAGTATGAATATTTAGATTTAATGTTTTCCTCGCAGTTAAATTGGTCAATGGCCTGCAAATGTCTTGCTGCTCTGGCCAAGAAAGCTCCACTCCCAATCTATAAATTATTTAAAGAAAACAAGTATGTTACATTTTCAACAGTATACTTTTTTTTTTTAAATTATCACCAATTTTTGTATATGGTGCAGAGCTTTGGGGCACGAGGTATTTGAAGAAATTGAAGAGGTTCATGCATCATATTTTAAAAGATTTCTTGCTGTTGGAAAGTTTGCTGCAAATAAAGCTATACTAGGGGAGACTGGACCTTGTAATCCCCTGTGAATACCCAATATCTTGAGCATTTATGATTGGAATTTGACGAAACTTTACATACATGATCTCTAGGCAGTTGATGGTTGATGTTCAAGGTCAAGGTCATTAAGTACCTAGAAGCATGGTCCTTTCTGTTTCAAAGTTCTTCTTTGGATATTGTTTGCTTTGTTTTCCCCATCGGAAGTGATCTGTGTGACAGACATGCTTATAACCTTGTGAGTAAGGTTGCTAGAGGCATGGGACTTTCTGTTTCAAATCTGTACTGCTTTGGGCATGTGTGGTCACCTGTCACCTGATGTATAGCTAAAATGGTTCATTGTTCATGTTTCTGATGGGGGAGTTTGGGGCATTCAGGAAATGGTCATCTTCCCTAGGCAAGAGAGTTAACTGACATTAAAAGTCCAGTTTCCACCCTTGCCAAACTTGGCTGGAATTCCTGGGCTCAATCGTAGCGCCACCAGTGGCTTTTATGAGTTATGTCCCTTCTAAGCCTCTCCTGTTGACCAGATTCCATCACTTGCATTTGACAAGAAGATCTGATCCATAATCAAGATCTATATTGTGATAAAACGGGTCTTAGATCGCGAAGTGCATCAAATCACATGAGCACCTTGATTAAAAACATGAAAATGTTTGGAAAATATCTGTTGACAACGAGCTGGCACATGCACATGCTTTGCAAATCCTGCAATCGACCAAAATGTGCACGACAGTTTACGAACCAGATTTCGATTTCGTTGCGCGATTTTGATTGGACTATGCATAGACTCGTTAGTCCAGTCAAAATCTTTCTCCAGAATACCAGCCTAGTTCGGCAAGTGTGGAAACTGGACTTTTATAGACAGTTTACTCTCTTGCCTCGGGAAGATGGGAAATGGTGGGGTGGGACTGCTTCTGATTTTGCATGTAATGCAAACACATTTCTAGTTGTATGTCTCCATTACAGGACCTTGATGGACAATCAGAGGCCAGAACATCCCTCCATGATGCACGGTGAGCTGTCTGGTCTGGAGGACATCCCCGCGTCTGCGCTGGAGCCAACGTTCATGGTGACAGACGACATCCATCAAGAGAGTCAGACGGCACAGCTGTTCTTTGAGAGTTTGCTGCAGTCGTCTCGGTCACAGCTGTTGTCAGATTGTCACATGTCATCTGGTGAGATCAGCTGGATGGATGAACAGATCGGTGCGCCACGTGATGTGCCTGTATCTGATAATATGCCTGGTGTTGTGATACAATCTGCGGTGCCAAGTGTCCCTGGAACAGATACCTTTGTTGTACGGTCTGTGATGCCAAGTGTCCCTAGAACTGATACCGTTGTTGTGCGGTCTGTGATACCAAGTGTCCCAGGAACTGATTCCATTGTTGTGCGGTCTATGATGCCAAGTGTCGCAGGAACTGATACCGTTGTTGTGCGGTCTGTGGTACCAAGTGCCCGGGGAACTGATACCGTTGTTGTGCGGTCTGTCACTCCTCAAGTATCAGGTGTTGTCATCAGCCAGCCCGGGCTGACCTCTGTACCTTCTAATGTCATCAGCCAATCAGGGACAAGCCATCCTGTTGCTGTTACAATCAGCCATTCATCAAGCGGATCGTCTGTTTCACCGAAGAAACGATCCCGACGTGAACAATCAGGAACTGTTACAGACAGTCGTGAAGGTCGTGTGTCTGGACGTCAGTCGCAATGTGAAGGTCATATATCTGGTAGACAGTCACAGAATGACGATCGAATTTCTGGGCGTCAGTCACAGTGTGAGAGTCGTATGTCCGGTCGTCAGTCGCAGTGTGAGAGTCGTATGTCCGGTCGGCAGTCGCAGTGTGAGAGTCGTATGTCTGGTCGGCAGTCGCAATGTGAGAGTCGTATGTCTGGTCGGCAGTCGCAGTGTGAGAGTCGTATGTCCGGTCGGCAGTCGCAATGTGAGAGTCGTATGTCCGGGCGCGAGTCACAGTGTGATGATCGAATGGATGCCTACAGTGATGGTGGGAGTAGTTGTGTGTCCTTGAGTCAAGATAAGAGGGATAGTGTGGACGCAGGTTCTACTTCTCGTCGTAGAGGGAGCCACCTCTCTGATGGAGGTCGCAGGTCGCGAGAGAGAAGCGAGAGTGAGGTTGGTTTCGCCTACAATCCAGTCATTTTGGTGTTAATAGTCTTTCTGCAGATCAATTAATAACCTACATTCATTAAAGACTTGTCAGAATCCATTACACTACTATCCAGCTGCCATTGATAGATAAAGAAAGAATATAATTTGTAATTTTAGTGATAATAGTCTTTCTGCAGATCAGTTAATAATATATATTTGTTATAGAAATTAATCAGATTCCATTATGTTCCAATCCAGTTGCTAGTGACAGATTACGAAAGAATAAGGGACCAACAGTCAGTGTTGCTCCTGTAATGCTTGAAATCAGGGACTTTAAATTTTGAACTGGGGCTATGGTAAGAACCTTTAAATATGGATCAAAGTCAGGGAGTTGTGATGGTTACTTACTAGGGCTGGGACGGGTAACTCTGGTACTCGGGTCAGGGGGGTCCTGGGTAGGACCCGGGTACCCACAGGACTACCCAGACCCATGGTTGGTCACATGATATATTGTTTAGTGACAAAAAGCTGTTTGTTTTGGTCAGGGCGACATGGTGGCAGATATAGCCATGTTGAGTTCCTACACGTCAGATGACGCTCGACGACAGATGACAGGCTCTGTGACACCCGAAACATCGGATGTCGGCTTCCAACCCAGTATGCTTGATGCTGTGTTGACGGAGAAGAAAATGGTGTGTATTTCAAGCTGATTAATTCCAAGGTTAGACTGGGTTCTTTATGATTCTAGAAAAGAACCAAGGGGAGCATTTGCGACATACCAGACAACTGTTTGTACTGTATTGTTTCTGTAATGTGTCAAGCTCTGGTGTAGCTCTGTAGGTAGTGTGTTCACTCATCCCTATCAAGGTCTGGGTTTGATGCCCTATATAGTCAGTGTATGATCACTAACTGTAGTGGGCGGTCGGGTAGTCTTGTGGTTAAGGGAGTTTGCTCGTCACACCGAAGACCCAGGTTCGATTCCTGACATGGGTACAATTAGTGAAGCCCATTTCTGTTGTCCCCCGCCGGGATATTGCTGGAATATTGCTAAAAGCAGCGTAAAACCAAACTCACTCACTCACCCACTATCTTCGGTCAATTTTAATGAATTTGCTAATACACTTGTCCAGAAGTCAGAGGGCAAGAAATTGGCAGGATCCTTTCACTTTGTAGGCAGGGTTTTAATGATAAATAGGGACACAAGTGGCACAGTTGTCTAAGGTACCGCTGTGTACGGGCATGCCAGAAACTTGGGTTTGAATCCCAGTCGCCCTCATTATGTTTGTTGGCACCATACCCATGCTGTGTGTTTCACGAACGAGGTTGGTAACTTAGGCCTACATCACCTCAGGCGTTCATCCCACACCTAGCTGACACGCCGTGATACAACAATTGTTTTTGTACAGTTTTCATGGAATTAAGTTTGAACTAATGTTTGAACTGATACTGGGATTTGTTTCAAGAGCAACAATTAAAAGCTATTAGATCTGTAGATCTAAAAACAGTTTATTGATGATTTTGGAAATTGAAAAACTGAAGGTGAGATTCAATTCCAGAGAGTGAAAAAAATTGAATAAAGCTCCTGTCAAGTCCATTCAGGATCTGGCCGCCTCCGTGGTCTTGTGGTAGAGCGTCCACCCGGAGAGAGGAAGGTCTGGGGTTGGATCCCCAGCCGCGTCATACCAAAAGACGTTTAAAGATGGTACTTGTTGTTACCCTGTCTGGCACCCGGCATAAAAGGGCTAAAACAAGGACTGGTCAGCTCGGAGTCAGTATACTGTGTCTGAGTGGGGTATTCATGTTAAACTGCGGCATGGTATCTCAGTGAGCTAGCACTATAAATCGGCATCAGTCCGGACTAGTACAAGCAGCCACGCAATCATGTGCATGCACGTCGCTATATAAGTGCAATAATCTTGGACGCAACGTTAAACCTATTTCACCTCACCTCACCATTCAGGATCTTGAGGTAATAGGGCATAATGATTGTTTTGTTGATATCCATCAATCAAACATTTGTCATGTTTGTTAAACTGACTTGTGACTTTACAAAGGGACTGATTATTCACCCCATGCTTTGTGTGCCGAGCCACAAACATGATCAGTCTATGATCATCTTGGTCGAACATTTCACTTTTGAAGTGTTGTTTGTTTACCATCGACATAATTCTAAGTTACCCATTTCCAATGAGATATACCAGTTATTTCTCTTGTAATGAAAAGCATGGCACATAACTAGAAGAATAAAGTATGACACTGCTTCCTTGCACAGGCACTGCTGAGGTCACCAGAAGTTCGCCAGTTCCTGTTCAACCTCCAGTCAGAGAAAGCCAAGGAGCAGACGCGACCTCACAGTTCACCCAGTACAAGGGGAGACAACCCTTCCTGATTATACCTCATTTTATTCTTAAACAAATATAATGAATGAAATTTGCTGAACTGTATATAACCATATCCAGGTTAGACTAGGTCTTTAGCAGTGGTCAGGTGGTCAGGTGGTCAGGCTCATTGACTTGGTTGATGCATATCATGGTATTCCAATTTCGTGAATCGATGATGCCAATAACTCGATTGTCAGGTCCAGACTTGATTATTTACAGACTGCGGTGATATACGCTGGAATATTGCTGAGCGTTAAACAACTAACAAACAAAAAACATAACCATCATTGTCCCGTAAGTTTCTGGATTAACAGAGTCTGTTCACTGTATGCTCACACTACTTGCCAACAACTACTTCCCAGCATGTCTGATGGACCGCCAGTTGACAACTATTTCTTGGTCTGTTTATGGCTTTCAAAAGAAGTAGTTTTGTTGTTTATTAAAGTGTGGCAATGATGTCTGTTTGGAGCTTGAACCTACATTTGACTGGGCTCCAGTCTACCTGAACGAGTATACTGGCAGTGGCCAATTCTCGTAGGCTGCAAATGGATGACACTAAACATTGCATTCATTGGTCCTTGGCAATTTTTGAAGACAATTGACTGTCTTTATGCAGAGCAGTTTATAAAAAACAATTCCAAGGGTGGTTATTTAGTCATAATTAGGATTCTAGGTACATACGACTACTAAAGTCCAGTGATCGAAGATAGAATGTGATCTGTACTTTGTGAATTAGGTGGGCAGGAAACTTAAGCAATGTGGTATACTCCAGCGCTTGTCCACAGCCTGGCAAAACTGTATCAGGAACTTGATCAGTGTATTGTCACTTGACGTTTAGGAAAAAGAGCTAGTTGGTAAATATCATACCAGTTGGTATCATGTCCACAACAAAATAGGTAGCATTCAGGAAATCTGCATGTCAACTGGACCTGTTTGGCGTTGTGGTCAGTTATAGGAAATGATATAGGAAATGATATAACTACATTTGAACATGTGTAAATCTCCACCTTGATCCATCTTCTCTACGTGTAGGAATAAAGAATGGAGATGTGCGTGTATATAAACCATCTACGTTTGTCTTCACTTGGAGTTGACTGCCGACCTGTGGGTCATTTTGCCAGTAGAGCAATAAAGGCTTTAAGAGCAAGCAGCTTATTTCTCCAAGCATTGACAGTTGGCGTTGTCAGTCCTCTCCAGTTCCCGGCTGCTGGATTAAAAACGTTAGAAATGAAGCTGCTGTGAAAGTGCTCCGATAACCACCCAATGACTTTTTTAGCAAATTAATTTATGTAGTAATGTGTTGATATGAGGATTAGAAAATGATTTTTATGTAATATCTTAACTGTGACATAACATAACTTGTCACATTTATATTTATAAGAAATGATCTTACCCAACAGGTTTTATTATTGCTGGTGTTCTTGAAATGTGCAATGTATTAGTTTATTACCTCCTATATTGTTCCCCTAGGAACACAATATTGGTATCAATCATCATCAGTGCAGTGTATTAATTATTTGTGATCAGGTTATGAAATGGCATGTATTGTGCAACTCAAGGAAGCAAATGAGCATGTATGAACTTCCTGTGAACACTACTATTGCCTGAGACCGAGCTGTGCGGAGAGACATTGCAACTGATCTTTCATAAGAATATTGCCAATGCAATCTCAGGAGGCTCCAAACCTGTTTTCTCTTCTGGTCTAGTTTTGGACTAAAAATGCTAGTTTTAAATAACAATTTGATATTTAAACAGTGCGTTAATTGTCGGCCTCATTAAAAATTGTGAATAGTGTTACGGACCAACAGACATGCATTATGACCTGCTGATGACAGTGTAAGATGTTCAGAAGAAAACTTATGTTTAATTCATCATGTGACTGGATGCCTAAAGAGAATTTCAAAGAATATTCTGAAGTACAGAACAGGGAGGTGGAATCTAAATTGTAACCCCCAACGAAAGACCATTTAAGTGTTATACACGTTTTAATCATGTCTTGACTATTGCTGTTATTTGTTAATAAAAACAACTTTTTTCATAATTGTCTTGAATTATTTACATGAAATAAAATGGAACTCCACATTCTACCAAGATGTCATACCAACACAGGGACATTACGGACTTACTGCAAGGTCACTGGAATTTAACTAGATGTCTGCCATGGTCCAGTATTTTCATACCTGATGAGCCAGGTGGGGATTCCAAGGAAGAATAGGTCCGAAGTCAGGATGACAAAGACTGAACTGTCAAGACTGACCACACTGAGTCAGGTCTTGTTTCAGTACTGTGAAAGTCAGTAGTGGGGTGTACAGGGTTTTACAATCTGAATGGTCATGGGGTGTACATGAACGTTCAGCTCATAAAATCCTCTAAATGCTGTTACTGACAATGTCACATGTAGCATTTCCATTACAACTTCACACTTACAATAAAGCAACAGGAATATCCATCTTGAGAGAGCCATAAGACTCTCAGTATGCTAACTTAAAAGTGTGAACAGGATCAATTTCGACAAGCAAGATATGCCACATCAAACATATCACGATATCCACACAAGCCGATACACTTTGAAATTGCTGACTGCAACATTTTCACTCACTCCCATGATGCTTCTTCATCTCCTGGTCGGAGTTTCACCCCAGCAGGAACATTGCGGACAGCCACATTCAACAAATCACTAATTCACCAACTCAAAAATTGAATGAAAGAACACCTTTATTCCACTTTGCATACAATTTCCTTCACATAAACATATAAGAAATCGCAGATGACTCCTCCAAAAATAGTAATATATGTATATGAATACTTGTGTATATTGCCACCAATTTCTCCGAGGCTTTACTGGACACCCATGACAGGGCTGGAAGAGTAATGCTGAGAAGGATGCCAACAGTCTGTCATTAGCTGTGCCCCCAACACACCACCACCACCACCCACCCTAGCCCAAACCCCCTTCTCTACCCTGTTCTCCTGACTGCACAAACTGCTCGTTTGCACATGCAGGAGGAATATAATGCATATAATAAAATATAAAGTCCGATATTTAGAAAAGGGGATTAGGTGACATATAAAATTTGGTATTGTTCGCATTTGAATAAAAACGATGCCATTATTAAATAACGATTAGCTGTAGAAATAAATATATGCAACTGGAATATAAATAAAACTCATTCTAAATTTCAAATCTCAAGACAAAGTAAAAAGTTTAAATTTGGCAAATCAGACGGGGTCTGTGTAAAAGGTTTGATAAAAGGAACTCAAAGAGGTTGTACGCAATACCTTGTTAATTATGCACTGAGGGTAAAAACCTTTCAAAACTAAATTTTCTATCCTACATCTCCTGACTAAATGAATCTCCACATATTACACCATAGCACTAGATATTGGAAGGAACGACAACCACCACTGTATCAGTCCAGTCAAGTACATTCCACCCAAAAGGGCACCTGTTTCATGAACTTTCATAAGACCAACTAGCAAAAGCTAGCAAGGTCACAAATATCTCCAACTATACTTGCTGGACCAGTACTTGCATTTTCCACACTGCACTATAAACTAAATGACACTGTACAACAGCACAAATAACAATTTCTGGTAGCACTAATGTACAAAAATACAACATATACATATATTTAACACGTCTGGGCTATATGGGAATGCGTTAAGTACTTTATACATCGTTAGGTGGGTCAGACACAGAATAGACAGGGATAGAGAAGGAGATGGGTAGGGGGGGTGCCAGATTCCTTGGGGAGACGGGCACTTGTTGACAGACCGAAGTGAAACTGCCAAATAATGGACCAGAAAGCAAGACTAACTTGGCATCAATGAGTGGACAGGGAGGGCTCAGCATATGAGAGAAAATACAAGGACATGGTTACATTCTATATCAAACCTCTTCCAAGACATGGCCGAAATCATCTTTGAAAACTCTTTGGAATACAATTGCCCTGAACTAGTGGATTTCTCATAACCTTACCGTACTTGTAACCATAAAATCTTAAGCTTACAAGAATTCAAAATCTTTTGTACAGTTTTCTCGATTTGACTATGGAATGAAGGTATGCAAGATCATGGACAAAATAAAATATTGCAAAGTGTAAAGCATGTAAACACTGAAGACCAATGTCTACCCAAGAACTCAAACAACCAACCATGTTTCAAGCTTGGAACAGAATCTCTCAACTGTGTTAGACAATCATCTGTAACCTTTTCACCTGTGGTTACTTCGTCAAGGGAGCCAGCAAAGGAACAATCCAGAAACCGAATATTTAATTTGACACATGTCGACGCCTATCAACCATCGACACATTTAATTCAAATCGACAAGACGGAGCATGACTTCCTTGATAGAACTCCTCAAAGACATCAATTGATTGAAACGTGTTTTCTAAGGCCAGTATCCAGAACATGACAACTTCAATGCTTTACTTTAGAACTGTCCTAAATACATAAACTTTAGGAAAACAAATCCAAACAGACAATTGAGCAAACCAGTACATCACGGTCAGTGTAAATTTATATAAAACAAGGAAAAACACAAAGGGATACCAATCAATTTGGGTTTTATCAAGGCACCTATTGGATAAATAGCCTTAGCCATCATTGAAAAATGATCCCTTTCACAATCAGAATTTTCACATCACTTTCATCTCTCTCTTCTGTTTCTTATACATAAACATATATAATATAGAAGATATGTGCTGTGAATAAAACAACTCAAAAAGATGCAAAAGGCCAAGTTCCCGTTAAAATCATGTATCTTAAAATCGGTGATGTGAAAATTCTCGACTGAATTCTGAGGGTAGGTTTATTGCTATCCTGTTGTATAATATAACATTGTCAAAACCACATCACAGATCCAGGTAAGATTTCATTTTTTCAGCAGCAAAATGAGAATATGTACCAGCACGTTGGACTGGTTCTCCTATCCAAAGACACCACCACAGAGAACCCAAACTAAAGCATTCCTTGTTGGCTTTCGGGAATACATCTTTATGTCTAAATTAGCAGTCTGGTTGGGCAGTCATGTTATTTGTGAAACAAACTTCATACAGCACTAATGCTATTTTTTCTTCAAATAATTTACTGTGAATGTAAATTACTGCAAATTTCTTGTCTATTGTGGCAATGCTCAAATATTGCCTTTGCAAAGTACCATGCCTAAACTGACATGTTCAGATGAACATACGCAAAAACTTGTCATGATCTTTGCAAAATATACACATTTTTTCAAATTTCAACATAAAATGTGACATACAACATCAATAAACAGAATATGATTTTTGTGTAAACATTTCTTTGGAAACACCCCTTCACGAATTCTGCTCCCCTGAAATAGCATAAAATGCAATAGGAAATTTGCAACCTTTCTTTTAGTAATGATTTCGCCAGTATTTGTGGAAAAACATGTCCGCGATCTTGAGTGTATGATTATGTTAACCTGAGGCAAAAACTACTTCTAATTTGATTTTCTATTGCATATTGCCTATTGTACATGTTGTCAACAGGTGTTATGCCGATGTCAATTAGGACAATTATTATGAAAAGGGACAGCTTGACTGATATGTTTGCTATGAAAAAAGTAAAGAATATTATTTTGGCACTTATTGAAAACAATTATGTAGATCACAACTCTTTTGGATGTAAATATCCAGATTATTTCTTCAGAAACTACATTGTGCTTCTCATAAGAAGACATGAGGAATTCTCCTTTCACCATCTTCATGCAGACGACAGTACATAAAACAATAGTATTTTCAAAAACTTGAAAAACTCTGAACTGTGTCAGGGACTTATAAAACAATTCTCTGCATAGGAAAGTTTTTGGCAATGTATACTTTTTCAAGGGTTTATTTCTGAATGTCTGCTTCTGATAGAAGGCTGAATAACATAAATATATGTCAATAAGAGAAGAATGAGCAACACTGGGTATTGTAAACAGTAAATACTGATAGTAGGGAAAATAGAGATCACGGTCAACACACATTTGATCAAGGACCGCCATTAAAATATGGCACGGTTTGTAAAAAGCAAGATATGAGTAAATAAGTATCAGTTGAAATGCTGATTCCCTGACCCTCCCGTCCCGATTCCCCTAAAAGACGACTTTGACGACTCAAAACAACAACACACCTGTCATGGGGCACAGACAGAAGCCTCGGAGGAGTTGGCACACAGTAAAATCAGTGTACAATAACTAATACAATGATTTTACCTGTGTATCATTGTATATCATTGCAATGTGATTTTCTCAAAAATTAACATAAACTAGGGAATGGCAAAAAATAAAAAGCACATGCTTCAATTGATAAACAAATCATTTTTCAATGCAAAACTGTAAGTAAACACTGAGTTAACTGGAACGATCAACCCAAACATGAATAACTGTTAAAATCAAGTAGTACCAACTGCAATTCTCCTGCAACAGTGTAAAGTGTTATTTCAAGAGGTGGCCGGCCCAATGTGAATCCTGGAATTCCGTCGTCTTTTCACGGTGGTCAGATGGCAGCTCTTTCCAATGGGCATTGCTTTGACAAAATCAACAGAAAGGGAGATGATCAAAAAATATCAGCTGAATATTAGGAAAAATAACATTGCAAAACATCAATTAAATATATAATTGTATATGAAAAGTGTAATTAATAGAAAAGTATTTCAAAAATAATACAGAATAATACCAAATAAAAGAAAAACGCCTAATCGTAGACACGTCAACCTGCTGACTCTCCTCTCACTACAGCAGTCAGCGTTGCGTGGTCACTAAATACTGGGCAGGCAAGGTAGGAGTGATTAGTGCTATTTGACTAAATTCTGTCTCTCTCTTCTCTCTCCGATAATAAGAATGGTAAGTTTTTCAACTTAATAATCCGCATGTATAAGTGTGACATCTATCGACCACACTGTTACTACACGAAATAAAACTATAATGTAATAAACTAAAAGCCTGAATAGAGCTGTACAGTTAGAGCACCAAAAATTAATATGTATATGTATATATATAATGTGTATATGTATAACAATGTCCCTGTCTAGCTCCGACACAGAGTACCTGTGAAGTTGGGGGGGGAGGAGGGAGGGAGGGAGGAGGCCGCCTCGCTGCCTCCCCTGATATTAATAATAAAAACAGTCTGGTCTCAAAACATGCACTCAAAACGTTAGCCATCTACGATTGGTTACATTTCTCCTCATCCTCTGCCACAGCGATGGCCATAACAAACACTTCTTGATCTATTGTTATTAAAACATGTCAACTCTTCTCCCATTACCCTTCATTGAACCCAGACCAAGATGGAAATATCAGTCTTTGCACGGATGCGAAATCCTCCTCTTTTTTTCAAAAGTAAACTTGGTAAACTTGAAAATTAATCTTCAAAACTCTAAATGCAAACAGTTCAAAAATCTTAAAGGAGTTGACAATAATAAAACAGTATCTCAAAAAGTTAACATTTTTTTTTTTTACAGTATTATGAGTTAAATTCAAAACTGGAATTGAAAGAACATGAACACCATCTAAATGAATGAAAAGCTCGTTGTGATGACCACTAAAACTAGATTGTCTGGAGTGAAATGTTCCGAAACGTCAACACTTGGAGACGACTAAACAATGCACAGAAGAGGGTGAGCTCAAAAGGGAGCAACACCTCTTCAATCATTAAACTGCAGTCCAAAAATTTACTGGATAAAATATATCTTCTGGAATACCTTTGAAAAACTAAATATTCACATTTAACTCTTCCATGAAATGGCCCTAAGATTAGGAAATGGCATAAACCAATATGAAATTAACACAGTAGTAAACAACAATATTTTGATTAGATGCATACACTAAATAAGTATGGTGGGTAAAACTATGAATGGTCTTTTAGATATACAAACATTTTGCATGAGCAATCTTGGCTTCTCTATAGTATATGCAAATAACTTCAAAAAAGGTGAATAAATTTACAACACAAAAGTGATAATTTGGTCAACATCACCAATGAAAATATAATATGATCTCTTGTAAAGCTTTATACTATGAACACAGAAAAAAAACAATAATCCCTTAAGGCACAGCAAAAAATAATGGTCATGTTAGGACTGAGTATATGTGACTAGAAATAAAGCATGTTGCATAAGGTTGATTGGCAATTAGAGCCCAAATATGGTTACTTTATCTACTGCTAGGAGACCGACTGTCCCTGGACACCCAATCTGTTCATAAAACGTGACAAAATGTTAACAATCTGACTATTGGATATAGTTATATAAATCTGTGCTTAAAAAACTATATATCTTGCCAACAGAGGTTAGTAACCTCAAGGAATCATTATCCTGTATTCAGTATTAATTGTGGACCTAAATAAATGTAATATAATAATATAAGGATAAACAGTAAACATAATAGTAATATAATAATATAACTAAAGGAATCCAATAGTAAATCCCCCCAGTTACACTGAGGAATATTGGCACATGAGTTAAGTGATATATAAAGTGTTTAACACCAGAACATGGTGGTTATTCTTGGCAAGTGTGACAATGTAACCCTCGGAGGTGATCTTCAGCCCGCAGCAGCGCGACACTTTCACATAGGGACACTGGAACTCTCCGATCAAAGAACCATCCCGCTGGAACACTGCAACGTGGAAGCGGTTGCCGTGGCTGTCACCTACAAGGACGTCTCCTGCGTCGCTGATGTCGATGCCATTGGGGTAGTTGGTGATGTTCTCACAACCAATGCGTCTCATGAACTGTCCGTCCTCGTTGAACACTACCACACAGTGGCCCTGCAGGAGAGAGAGCTGATTAAATGTGTTGCTAATGCCACCTCCAGCAATATTCCACCTTTATGGCGATGGTTAGGGTCAAAAGTGAATTGTCTGGTTTGATTTCCTTGTGAACACAGACATTTCCATCACTACAGTGGAACATAAACCCAACCTCACTTCCCATATGATACTTTCTGTGAGTGAGTGAGTGAGTGAGTGAGTGAGTGAGTGAGTGAGTGAAGTTTTACGCCGCTTTTAGCAATATTCCCGCAATAGCTTCACACATAGTACCCATGTTAGGAATCGAACCCAGGTCTTCGACGTGAGGAGGGAACGGGTCAACCAGTAGGCTACCACTTTCTGTGATAAATGTTTGCTATATTAATGTGGCCAATAAATAACCAAGTCTCGGCTAGACAAACCTTCGACTGAAACCCTGAGAAAATGAGTAAGGGTGAAACTAGACAGCAAGGTCATGATAGGGTACTATCACGATACACACACATATTTACATCAAATCACATGGAAACTTCTTGACAATAAATATTTCAGAGCAGGTTCAAAACAAAAACCTAGCTGTGGACACATGTTCAAGCGGCTATTTTCAGCAGTGAACTTGAAACTCAAATTACAACACATTTTGCTACATCTGACTGACAAATCGCCAGGGGTCATTAAACGAGTAGTTGGTAATTTATTTCAGCAAGGGTATCATCTTTACAGAAAAAAACGTTTTGTGTATCAAATTTTCACTCGAAAATTCACGATGCAACGGTGCACCAGTGTTGTTTCATCCCTAGCAATGATAATGCCAGATGTATACAATGACACAACATCACAGAGCCTTACAATCAGATCCCCACTGCAGCAGTAGAAACTAACATTTTTAGTCGACTAGTCCTTATAATGATAACAAATAGCAAAACCCTTAAAAAGGGCAAATTTCTACTTGTCCTTACGTTACCTTAACTGTTGAGCAGTTAGGCAAGGACTACAGGACTAGTGCCAATTTCTTGCCCTATCTCACACCATGCACTTTTTTCGATCCTGAAAACTGGATTTCCCCAGACAACTCATTCTCTTTCTAGAGCTAATAGGCTAGAGTTATTGTGATGTGGGGATGAATGGGTGGGCATATAGTGTGTGAGATAGAGTAAGTTTTGGGCAGTTTGGCAAGGACTACAGGGCTAAAGTACTCACGGAAATGAAAAAAAACCTGTTTTTTCGATCTCAGATTTTAAATAAATGCAGTTAATATACAAAATATATAAATATTTAAAGAATTCAATTAGTACTAATTGGGCCTTGGCACAAATGCTTTTGCTTTTTACATGTACGGTAAAAGTGTATAAAAATATGAACAAAACAGACTATTGTGAAACTGAGCATTACCAGGTGTTAGTAGATCAAGGTGAATGTCCATGACCTCTGACACCTTGACGACAGGTGAAAACAGGTGCTTGAAACCCACGTGCATGTGATTTGTCAGTGGATAGTGATTTGTGAGTGGCATTGTGGCATAGTGAATCATCGTCAAAATATCAGAACGTAAAAGTAACATATTCCCTTCTCAAACAACAACTTACATGTCATTATTATTATGTACATAAACATAGCTGTTATTTTTATTGTTGTTTTGATAACTTGTTTCCAGGCTAATTTGCATAATGCCTATAGCCTGTTTCTGCCATGTCAATTTGGACTTAGTTTTATTTTTGAATGTTGAAAGTGCCTACAAATTACCGCCTGTAAAGTACATTTTGTATTGAGCACTGAGATAAAACTAGCAAATCAAGACTAGTACTTTTCCAGTTGTTTTGCTTTGTGTCGATTATTAAATCCAGCAAAACAGGTTTTTTTCCTTTCCATGAGTACTTTAGTGCCAATTTCTAACGCTGCACTGTAGACTTCTTTCACAACAAGCACTGGGGATCTTTTCTGACCCAGAATCCTCACAGAAAGCTGAATGTTGAAAAGTACCATCTTCTGTGTAAACAGACATACCTTGAAGTCACAGACGAAGTACTCCTTCCCGCTGATAGCAATGTCTGATGGCTCCCGCATGTAGTCACTACAGTCAAACCACTTGATCAGATCTCCAGATTCACCAATACAGAAAACTGTAGGTGAAACACTGTCAACCGCCACAATGTGACCTGCGAAAAATAAAACTTACTTAAAAAACTATACAACAGTTCAGACACAGGAATTATCCCAAGGCCAGCCTATTTGTGAAAACTAGACGCTAGGTGGGCAAAGGTGACCATAGCAGATTTTCAATTATTATTTTGTGTTCTTCGAAAAATGTTATCTGAATTTTCCCATTTATGCAGCAATAGCAAAGCCTGTTTGGTTTTCAACCTATTTCAACCTACTGTCTTGCTGTTAAACCAAGTGAGCACACAATCTATTTGTTATTAACACATAAGTTTGCATTTGGAAAAATGAAATATAAATTTTCTGACTATATTTATTCCACTTGTTTCTAAGGGTTTTTCTCTATAATGAACAAAAACACTGAACATATAAAGCCGCATTGATCAATGTGTGTGAAGATATTCTCATGTTCATTTAGTTGTGATTGGGATATGAGTTCAACGAAGCCTTAAGTTTAACATGAAACAGACTGCATTACGACAAATGGCAAAACAAGCAGAGAGCTTTACTAACCCTGCTGTGTGATGGCCAGTCCAGCCACGATGTCGATGTAGCGGATAGCTATCTTCTTGACAAAATGTCCATTCTTGGTGAAGATCTGCATGCGGGAGCGCTCATTACCACGGTCACACACAACATACTTCCCCGACGTCCTCATCACTGCAACCTTCCGTGGGTACCATAGCTGTCCCTCCTCTCGACCTGCAATACAAGATGGCGATACTCAGGACCTTAGATTATTTGGGGTGGAACAATTCAAAATACTGTTCATCACAATACTTTATTTAAACTCACAAGAACCATATTATGAGATCATAAACTAAACTGAAGGTTTATGACATGTGAACTAGTATGTTCTCATGTTACTGTTGCTACAATTGTCTCATATTTACATCTGTTTTGGTTGGGCCACTATCTTCCTTTTTGATGGTGCACAATAGGCCCTAACATGCCAAGTTTCTATGTGTCATGACCGTATTATCAAGACTTCACATCGCAACCAAGTGTATCGTCACAGCTCTACAGCCCAATATCAAAGAAGCAGCATGATACACAACATTTTTCTAACTGATGTAACAACACAAAACAACTGTCAAGCATTACCAACACAAACCAATCAGGCTTGTTCAGAGAGGAATGAAATGCCTCAATTTCTCATTTCAACTCATCGTCAATAACTGAATGTTGTTTAACGCCTTTAAATTTAAACAAGTCACCAGAAGATGACAAATCCACCCGGCCCCCACAAACTTGAAACTAAGTCCAACTTGATGAGAGAATTTCTATCAAATCTGTTGGTCTATATACACAAATGTTAATACATGTACCAAGTTTGGACGAAAAATCTTTCAGAGTTTTCAAATTATGCTCCGGAAACAAAATATGAAGGGATGGATTGAGGGTGACCATGGTGCTGTTGTACAAAGTGATCTAGGCGCTAAGGGGATCGGGACTCGAATACCTTAACACAAACTTACGACTAACATTGTTTTGAACAATGTCACCCAGATCGATAAAAGTAAAGTCTGCACTGGGCAAAACCGTGACTTAAAGCATCCACTGGGGTTCACATGGGGTATAATAAACCATTTCAATAAAAGCAATCAAATTGAGTCGACTCTTACAACAGCTCAAGGTATTGGAGCACTATTCTGATCCTGAATCCCCACGTCATGTAGTCAATGGCTGTCTGATATACACACCTGGTATGCCGAACTGGTACTTGAACTCTCCAGTTTTTTCGAACACCTGAATCCGATGGTTGTTCGTGTCGGCCACAATGATGTCCTCATCAATACCCAGGCAAAAGCCATGGGGAGAGTTGAACTGACCCTTGCCTGGACCCAACTGACCAAACTTGCATCTGAATCAAGATAAACATGTGTATGACGACATAAAGAAAGACTTGACTGCTTTGCGTGGTATCATTCCTGTCAATTATAGTGAACGAACATAGAGATCACGTTTCAGAACTTTTTCAGTCTCTAAAAAAATATCTGAATCATTCCCTACCAGAATGTGAAATTAAGCATGAAAGTCAAGGGGACCTTGTTATTACCCAAACTTTGAAAGTAAAAGATAAAAGGGGTCCATCGAGTCAAATATTTTTGTAACAAAACTCAAGGACCCCACTGCACAAGAACAAATGTTAAATGAATGTAACAAGTTATACTTGGGGTTACACTTTCTCAGTAAAGTAAAAATTCTAGAATTTTTTATTTTTTTTAATGGAGTTCCATCTGTGAGTCGAACCAACACACATAGTGAGGCACCTATAAATCTGAACTACACAAAGTCAGCCACCGAACCCACTCAACCACCAAGGCTTCCACTAAAATGGAAGTCTGACAATTGGTAGTCAAGATACGTATCCTGCAGATAGATAGGACTAGAATTTGTACTTTACTAGGTAAGTGTTATCACGAACATAACAAATGTTACCACTTTCTAAAAGGCACTGCCTATTCATGTCAAAGGACTATATCAGCTGAAAACAACATCTGACAAGTCAACAGGGCACACTTTCCTACCTGATCTGCATTGCGCTCATCTTGTTGACACGTCGCATAGGTGGGAACTGACTGCTGCCACCTGCCACAGATGGGTCGAAAGTGGTGATGTCTGTATCGTCCGGAGAGTTCATCAAGTTGCCCATGTTCCCGAGTCCCATGGTGTCCAGGTTGGCCAGGTTGGTCAGATTGCTGAGATTACCAAGTGCGTTGCTGACACCATTCATCTGCTGAGACGACTGACTGAACAGATTGGCCAGTGTATCAAGGTTGGAGGAGTTGGGTGACCGCTGAGGTGCACTGGTGAGAATGTTAAGGGACGTGTCTGGCTGAGAGAGGGGGGTCTGAGTGCGACTGCTCGGGTTAGAGTTACCTCCCCCTGACCCAGTGGAGGGGTTGTTGATGTTCATTCCCGATATCACCTGACCATTTAGAGTCACCTGACCTGTAATGCAGAAAGATCATATTAACTTTTATTTGAAAACGACTGACAGCAATATATGTGAATCAGCAGCGTTATATGAAAAAAAAGAAAACCAATTACCCTACGAGATGCAAATGATGATGATTATTGGTACGTAGCAGCTTATGTAATGAGTGAGTGAGTTTGGATTTACGCCGCTTTTAGCAATATTCCAGCAATATCATGGCGGGGGACACCAGAAATGGGCTTCACACATTGTACCCATGTCGGGAATCGAACCCGGGTCTCCGGGGTGACGAGCGAACGCTTTAACCACTAGGCTACCCGACCGCCCCGCTTATGTCATGAAGCTCATTTAGAAAGGTCAAACTTCAAACAGAAAGCAACAACACTTTCACCTAAAATCCAAAAGATCACAGTCTTATTTCAGTTATATCATGGCCTATACTCTACATTTTGCTTACACCTTATGAAACCCACAAGCAGAGACATGGTGCTAAAAGAAGTAAAAAATCAGGGTGCCTGGGATTTTAAGGATAAAAAAATAAAAGAATTGGCTCTCAGGCAATGGCTTTTGAAAATATAGCGTAGGTGGATGGTGTTTAGGTTAGGTTTTTTCAAACTTGAATGTAACTAGAATGTAACAAAATAAACAGTGTATAATCAACCAGGGAAAAGGGCCTCCCTACATACATATTCCTGGTATTTCTTTCTATTGAATTGCACTGTTTTTAAATATTGTAGCATTTCATTGCTGGGATCATGTGTTCGAGCCCAGGATTTATACAGAATTTTTATTTTGAAAATGAAAATAAAAATGAAACATGCAGCAGACTTTATGATGCAGGGGGTGTCTGAGAACCAAGACTTCATTTTTTTTAGCCTAATCCATGATCATTTTATGGATATACAACTAAGGGCCACAACAATGCACAGCTTATCGCACCCAAGCTGCTTATTCAATATGTACAATCTGTGCCAGCAACGTATAAGTACTAGCCTGAACATGGCTCTTAGCATCACGTTCTGTAGGTTTTACTGTTTAGGGAACTATGACTAGCTGATCTTCATGGATAGAACAGAAATTTACTTGGCTAGGCTCTGGACCAGTGGTTTAAGTGACTGCCTGTACATTCATCATGACATCTTGCAACATTGAGTTTGAGGCAGTACAACCCACTTGTCCCTTACCTTGATTGTTGAATCCAACAGACCCCAGTTTAGCCATGGCTGCAATGTTGATCATGGTGGCACTCTGACTGCTACCAGTGCTGGCTGCGTCCACGGATATCCCACTGTCAGACATTGCAGGGCTGTGGGAGTTGCGTGATAGACTGCTATCTTGACTCGAGGGGTGCCCAACACCGGAGATGCACCGCCCAATAGGAGGCGGCACAGACACCATGTTGTGCAGGGAGTCAACAACGCTACCGTTGATTGAGACAGGGGTGATACATCGCAGTGATGGCATGAAGTCCGAGATGCTTGATCGGGTAGCCATCATGGAGCTGGTTGGGCTCAAAACCCCATGGGGCAGGGAAAAGGCATCATTGTCGAATGATGAGTGCAGTGATGACAGCTGAGTGTCAATCTGTTAAAAGGAAATTGTGTACAAAACTGAGGGAGAGATTTTCTGAAATATGAATCAACAAGTGAAATGGGGAGGTGGGTGAGTGGGTGAGTTTGGTTTAACACTGCTTTTAACAGTATTCCAGTTATATAGCGGCGTGTCAGCTTAATGTAGGAGGAAAGCCTGAAGTGATGCAGGTCTCAGACGTTTACCATTCAGTGAAACCCACGAGCACGGGTATGGTGCTGACAAACCTAGAAACATAATCGGGGCGAACCGGGATTCGAAACCACAATTAAAGGTTTCTGGCGTGCCCAAGGGACGCAACTCTGCACAGCGAATCGCGGCGCCTTAGACGACTGGGCCACCCGTGCCCCCATGAAATGGGGGAACAGGATAGGAGAGGTAGAAGAGTTCTGGTGGATTGCTACATGACAGGGGACAAGCAAACTGCTTTTCTGTGGAGAATATGGATCATGTGAACCTTTTTCTAATGGAGGCAAGACTTTCAGTTTTAATTTTCAACAATGCATTACCACCATTTCTGAATTGTCAACTTATTTGGAAAGGGTGCAAGTATTTCATATATCTCTTTCTTAAATCTTTGTGGTTCAAATAGCTAGAGATTTCCAGGTTATATACCAGCTTTTTCCAACATGCTCTCCAACTTGATTATATCTTGTTTAACATCACTAAGCAATCTGCCAGCTATATGACAGCGGCCTGTAAATTATTGAGTCTGGGCAAGATAAACCAGTGATTGATATTGTGAATAACGATCCACACTCTTGGGGCACGATGACACTTTCAACCAAGTCACCCAGGCCTTGACAACCAAACATTTAGTTGCATCTAACAACCGACCAGCATACATTGTTGGGGACCTAGTCTAAGCAAAGGGATCTCTTGAACTAACATTCCCAATATCAAACCTTTGTACCCAATGTCTCATTATTTTTAGGTTTTCTCTGCTTTCGAAATTTTTATCAATATGAAATCAAAATAAACACCAAATTCCTACACATGAATCAAATGTGGACACCTAACACATAACCAACAAGTATCAACTTTAAATACCTTCATCTCTTCCTTGGCAAAAGATCCAAAGGTTTTCTTGGCAGCTTCCTTGAAGACATCAGTGTTCGCATTGAACTTGATATCCACTGAGACGTCCAGCTTGGGGGTGTTGTTGATGAGGGACATCAGCTGGCTGGTGATGAGTTGCTTCACCAGGAGCATCTGAACACTGTTCCCGTGTTCCAGCACGCGCTCTGTGAACTTGCAGGCATCCTCTATCTTCTCCACTGTGCTGCCCACGATGTGAAACATCTCCATGATACCCAGTTCCTGTGAGGAGTGCATTTCTTCCAGTTCCTTCAGTAGATCATCCTTTGAGAAACAAGCATTGACTGTTACCGAATGGACACGACAGGTCATGTTCTGACTTCAGAGAAGCGTACAAGTCTTAAAACCAGCATCAACCAAACTTATCAGTACATGCCTCTCACATTCAGAGTATCAGATTACATTCCCCATTGCAGAATTGCCATCAGTTACAGACTCAACATGACTTCTTCTGCAACTGCATCAAGGTGACCACGCTTGTCTGACCAGAACTGTTGTTATCTTTGCCAAAATATGCACTGAATAGCATAATGATTATTATTTATAAAAAAAATTGTTATTATAAAGAATCATATTAAAACTAAGGCAAATATCACACCAGTATTATTTACGCCATCCAGAGGGCATTGTTGCCGGCATTTGAATCTTATTGTTACGTAAGGTTGGAACGACGTCACACGAGTTGATGGCATTCGACAAAAGTAATTTCTGAGACAGCAGTCGTGATCCGTGTTTTTTTCTAAAGGGATCTCAAAAGGATTAAGAAACGAGTAATAAAGAAATTATTACACTAGCATTTTATCACTACATTCGTGTCATTCTGATTTTACGTAACTTATGTAAGAATTCATTCAAATACCCTCGCTCTTTATCAGGAAATACAAGAATTCTGAAACTAGTATCATTATGACACACTTACTCATATAATAATCTCTATTTATTAAATAGGGCAAAGTTTTCCCCCATATTCATTGGTCTAGGAGCAGGCATGTGTCATTTGACAGAAATGCTCATTGAGTTGGAAGTCAGGTCTTGACTTGAGTTACCAAAAATAGAATGGGACTTACCCAGAACCCCCTAAACCTGAGCCAATCACATGTCTCCATTTGTTAGAACTTCCTAATGTTTTTGCTCACATGGTTTGAGATGTTGAATCTATCCTTTTCTTGTTGTTTTATAATAAAACAATTATACTCTTTATCACGTCAATATTTCTTCAGACGTTCATCCTCAATATTGAATATTTAGGGTCCATAATAGCTATTGAGCTCATGTAACAGTATACAGTATAGTGTCAAAGGTTTATATATTGACAATAAAACCAACAGGTTAATGGACCATCATTGATGATACATTTAACCAATCACATCAACTTACTTTCCTCTTCTCTAGTACAGCCTTGCAGCTCTGGAATGTTTCTTGGATGAGGCCCTTGGCGTTGTCCCGCTGTATCTGCAACTCTGACAGAGCGTTCTCCAGGTTGGAGGTAGCCTCTTGACAAATGGACACCTTGCTCTTGCTCTCCGTCACCAGCGACTTGAGGTCTTCCTTCTGCTGCTCTTCAATGTCAGAGATTTTCTCGTGGCTGTGTTCTGGCTGACGGTGCTCGCTCAGCATACAATCATTACAGATCGGCACCTACAACATGCACAAGCACACACATGATGCTTATGTCTCTTTTTGTTTTATGTCACAGTCAGCAATATTCAAGCCAGTGTCTTAAATAACTGCCTGTGGCTGGTAACTGTTCTGTTGTTGCATGAAATTTTCCTCCACCTGTCTGGCAGCTAATTTCATTGTTTAGTTGTGTAGATCATGTCCATTTGAATATCAGCCACAAATAAGCTTTGAGAAGGGAATAAGCTCACTACTCAATCAGGGGTAAGACTCAATTGGTATTATCTATTGGTTAACTAAAATAGCATGTATTTTTTTAGGGTACAAATATTATTTCTACTTATCCTGACTCAAACATTTGCTTACAGGGGTAGGAACTAACATATTTAGTCCACTAGTCCTTATAATAACATATAGCAAAACGCTTAAAAATGGCAAATTTCTACTTGTCCTTATGATATCTTAACTTTTGGGCAGTTTGGCAAGGACTACAGGACTAGTGCCAATTTCTAACGCTGGCTTATCTCTACCCATTTCTGAAAGATAGTTGAAACTTGCTGAACTGTGTTCGGGGAGAACAGAGAAAGCACAGAATAGCACCGGAAGCATGTGACCAAGCCCGGATTCTCATCATTCTCTTATTTCCTAATATACTTACTCATCCAAAACATGTGAAGGGGGCATAGCTGTGTGGGTGCTTTAGAGCATGAGTCAGGATAAGTATAAATAATATTTTCACCCTAAAGAAATACATATTTATCTTATCCTGACTCACACCTATTGCTTGAATCCGACGGTTGGTGGTGGGTTTCACCTGTTCATTGTTCAGATCAAGATCTAATCACGAACCCCTGGGAACAGGATATTGTTCTTCATTTCTTCTGTATGAAATAAACCTGTGGAACCATCTCTTTGTGAAAGGGTAGTAAATCTGTTAGATTTCGTGGATTTTGTAAAGTTTGATAAGTGAAAGTGACTTTTCCCAACTTACTTTGAAGGATTAAGTAGTTAAGAAAAGGATGTAATCTTTACACAATCAGTTTCACTCATGCTCTGAATTACATAGTAAAACAGGGGAACATGAACTTTCAGTCGTTCAGGGTTAGAAACTAACAGTTTTCGTCCACTAGTCCTTAAGCGCGACTCACACGGGTTGACAGGTCTTAACGACATGCTGATTTCCATACACTGTACAACATGTTCGGTGATTGTAACCAATATCGTCTGCCGATTGAGTGTCGATCTCATGATATCTCACGATAAACTGTTTCCATGGTATCAAAATGTCTGAAGCAGGTGTGGCAGCAGTCATCTACTGCGTGATATCGTGTGAAGAAGACGGCAATGCAGCGTTCCTCTTTTCTCTTTTGGAATAATCCTTGCTTGAGACATTCCACAGGCTTTCGTGACTCAGATAGTGAGCCAAAAAATGTTCGGTTTCCTCTCTTGAAAAGTCAAGTCGTGGTTTCTTCGCAGCAGACGAAGCTATGTTTCCTGATTGTGGGTAAACAAATATCACGTGATATCAAAACGCAATTTGATTGGCCGCGCCACATCCAACTTGCCGATTCACTGGAACACACTCTACGCACTTGCGATACAATCGATGCGAGTTCGAGCAGCCGATTTGTCCCTTTTGTCGAATTTGTTTAATCACTCAGACAATATGACTCGGTCGAATTCGGCATATCAATTCGACGGGTCGACCCGCGTGAGTCCGCCTTTATAATGATAACATATAGCAAAACCCTTAAAAAGGGCAAATTTCTATTAGTCCTTCTGATAACTTTACCATTGGGCAGTTTGGCAAAGACTATAGGACTAGTGCCAATTTCTAACGCTGCCGTTCGTTATGGAACAGCAACCTGACGTCGATAAATCTACATGATTATAGGGTGAGTTTTCTGGTAGTATGGCCTATCTTCTGTTAGGCATAGTTAAATGTTGCGTAACCACATCTTGTCGCGAACATTCTATGAGGTAATGGTTAGCGAAAACCGTATCAAATCTCCAGAAACAGCCTTCAATAATTGTGAGATTGAACATGAGGTCTTCCATACGTGAAGTTCGTAAGCATGTTGGTTTTGATGAACTTGCATGGTGTGAGGATGCAGAAGAAGGCCAGCCTGGGAGTTTTGCTGTTGGTTTCCCAGTTAGCACAACAAGCTCTGGGAACAAAGCCCTTTACGACAAGTAAGTTTGTTTGTTTGTGGATTAACGGCACTCCGCAATATTAAAGCTATATGACAGTGGTCTGTAAGTAATCGAGTCTTGAACAGACAATCTAGTGATTGACACTATGAGCAATGATCCACGCAATTGGGATACGATGACATGCGTCAACCAAGTCAAAGAGCCTGACCACCCGATCCTGTTAGTCACCTCTTACGACAAGCATAGTCGCCTTTACTGCAAGCATTGATTGCTGAAGGCAACGCCGATAATATGAGAGATCCCTTCGGTCGACAGTGTGGAGGGGCCAGGTTGTGTTCAGGTTGATGCTGTTGCATGTTTAGGATCGCATGGTGCCTAAGTCTAGCAACCAGGTCAGTGTTTGATGACATCGCAGGTACACCACTCTTTCGTGAAGGCAGACTGGTGTGTGTGTGAAGGTCCATGTCAGTGCAATGACCTTGACTTCTGCTTCTGCATCACTGTGGTTTTCTGTTGCGCGTTGGGAGAAAGCTGTGAATAGCTCTCCTGCACCTTTCATGTAGAATTCATAGACCCCTTCTCAGCTGCAGCAGTCTGCATCTGATATCATAGGATGGTCCAGATTACAAAGCTCAGGAAATTTACCCCAACCACCCGCTTGGCGTGAAATTGAAAATGAGTTACTAGTTACAGGGCTTGGTCATGTGCTTACCATGCACATGTGCAGTCCAAGGGTGCGTTCGGTTGAGATGTTTTCTGTGTTCTCCGGGAACACAGTTCAGGAAGTTTCCACTACCTTTCAGGAAATGAGTACAGATTAGCCTTAAATATGTGTCAGGAAAATATATTTTTTAAAAACAACTCGTCCGCATGGATTGTTACTAGTCTCAGACTGACAGACTATTGGCCTGGTCTATCCATGCTACTGTTTAATCAAATTTCTTTCAGACAAGAATACATAGCCAAACTTACCTGGCAAGTATTGCAGTAGTATTTCAGGTTTTCACTTGTGTGGACTGGACAGAAAATCGGTTTGTGGATTGTTAAGCCGCCTCCATTCTGTAGTTCCTCGAAAGACACCACCTGCAGCAAACATCAAAATGCATGCAATGAAGCTGTGGAGAAAACATAAAATCAAAAGGTTTATTTAGGAAGGGTAAAGCATGTCCGCGGACTTTCACCATACTTAAACCTGCTTCCAGGGAGAAAACCGAGGGGCATCTGGATGTCTGATGTTTTATCCTGAGGATACTGGTTTTAAATATTATGTGAGGAGATGTGTTTTATCTATCGGACATTTGCACTTATGATGATGAATATCTATGTACACAATTTCATAAAGAAAATACTCATGACCAAATACTATGCACAAGCTGCATGCTCTGGTTGAAACTAGTTGAGTTCTTTGCCCCCCCATACAGAACTGGATGCAACCAGTGCCTTGTCAATTTTGCACATGTAACTCATGGTCCTAATTAATGCTTTCTAAAACATACAAGGCAATGTGTATATGCACAAATCACCTTAAAATAAATTAGAAAAACAACACTTTTCTCGACATTGTTAATAATAATACATGACATTTCAAAGAATGACCATTTTCTCAAAGTATACTCCATTCTAAAATTCCTGCAAAATCCCAACAAACTGCCAATGCTACCCTCAGCAACTGACCCCATAAATGTGGGTGTGATTATACACCTAACTAACAAGCATACATATGGACTTGATTCACAGTTAAACCATCAGTTTTAATGACTGAACAAACATCCTACCTTGTGATTTTCAAAACATCGCATAAACTGATGTGCAGTGACACATATGGGACACAGGAAGCTGGCACAATCACTGCACCTGGCCACGGCCTTCTCTTTGGCTTTGCAGCTGGTACACACCAACTGCATGTCTCCCATGTCGGTCATGTCCAGCATGTCGGACAAGATATGCTCTGTGGGCAGGCCATTGGCCCCCTTGGAGGGGATGATTGTCTCCTGCTTGCATTGGGTACATATTATACTCGGACACGACGGCGTCACAAAGACGGCCGAATCCTTCCCATCGTCCTCATCCTCATCCTTGTCCTCTTCTATCTGTTTCTCGAGACATGCCTCACAAAAGACGTGTAGACATGTCAGTACTTTAGGCTTCTTCAACTTCTCTTCACAGATTGGACACTTTTGCTCCTCATTTTCCAGTGAAGATGAAGTCAGAAGCGGTGAGGAAATGGGCGATACCTTTGGTGAACCGTCCTCAGAGGCCATTACTTACACAAGATCCTGAAAACAAAGCAGAAGTGATGACAAGGATACATATTTTTTTCAGTTTCAGGCTGGGAAGCTGGACTGGGAGAACTAGTACTGTTCTGCACACAAAAAATGAACATTGTCAACATGGTCAATCAACCAAAAACTGACAAAAACGAATAACTTAATAAAAGATGAAGCGAACCCAGGCAATCACGTGATTTCTACATAATTACTTGTCATATTGAGTGATGTGGATTTAGTACCGTTTTTATTGGCATTTCAGTTGTATCACAACATGCACAAAGCATGTCATTTAAGGAAGGGGGAGGGGAGGAAAGGTCACTGATCTCTGGGGACAAATTAATGCCCCTCAGACAATTTCTGTGCAATCTGGTCCCATGCCCCTACATTTCTTAAAACCAGGTTTATCATTTCAGGTGTGTCCACTAGATACAAATCAATATGAAGCTCTGTTACTAAAATACATAATATACTGACACGTCTTGGCATCCATTTGTAAGTTTTACTGGGATAATGTTGAAGTTTTCAGCTATATCATGCAAGTCTGAAAACAATGGAGTCTCGAACAGACTAACAAGTGGTTGATGTATACTTCTGTCTCGCACTGTCCTTGAACTTTTCTCTAATGGTACTGGAATCTTGGTAGCAGCAAAAACTTAATTTTTAACATAAGGGTTATGACAAGAACCCCTGGCTTCATTTTTTAACACTTGCAGGGGCATGATGACACAATGAACAAAGTCACCAAACCACTGATAAAATTAAATATTCTCGCCTATGATCTTGCGAGAGCAATAGTGCTCATGTCCTATTTTAACCCAGTTGACAGGATTATTATTTTTTAAGTAGACTATATGATCATGAAACATGGGACAATGCTTAGAATCGACAAGTCTTTATTAAACATGAGTCATTTATGCTCAGCCTTCGAAATTCATACTAGACTGCAAGCCCAACACTACTAATTTGTGGTGAGGACAAGCAAAAATCCAACAATGGTAGTCACTGACCATGCTGACTAGTTGCATTTTTTAGGGCTGTAATTCTGATCCAGTTCGCAGTGCTTCAACATTGCTACAAATTGGAACTGAATAAAACTGACAGAAAATGTTAACACACTAAAACACTTTGTCTCATTCAAGCCAGACCAGCAATAAACACAGACGACCGCTGAAAAAAAAGTCTACACTACTCGTAACTGTGACTAGTCCCCTGGACTAGCCTCAAAAAAGGTCAATTGCTAAGGCTGCATGCTTGGTTCAAAGATACATGCGCAGGAACTATCACAGTAAGAACAAAGAATAGAATATATAATTCCTGCATTGGTAATGGTCAACAGAAATATTAGTCCATCTTCATTCATTTGGATAAACTTAGAAGAAAAATGTAACACTGAAAAATGTCAAGAGTATATAACTTTTTTTTCAGGGCAGGATTTTCTGCCAAGTCACAATGGTTCCAGTCCTTGTAGTTTGGCTGGTGCCACAACCATCAATAATGGGAGAAATAATGTTCTATGAAAAGTCCATTCTGTCTTTCTATACATATTGTTGAATTATTTCACTAAATTGTTGCTATGATGTAACCAGCACTATTTGCGTAGCCTAAACGTTTGCATTTCTCACTCATACGATATTATGAGATTTCATGAAAACATAATATTATCATGCAACTTATCATATTCACATAACAAGTGCTATGAATTGTTATAAAAGTATCCACCATGATAAATATGATCTAACAAATACAAAATACATGCCACAGAGCAACCTAGTGTTATCTCTCAAAATAATCCACAACAGAACAATCATAATTATCATATTGATGATGTTGACAAATGGGAACAAAATATGAAAAGTGAATTAATTACCTATGTCTGATAGCAATGTATACCACCACGACACTGGTTGTTGCTACACAATCTGTAACCAAGCTGTGACCTACTTTGCTCATTGATTCCTGCCAGTGCAAAACTGAAGTCAGCTGGTTCGCATTACGTCTGTGGTATGTACATATTGTGCACACACTGGTGTGGGTCCACTCCACAGAACAATACACTAAAGGGGGCGGACTTACTCATTCCATCACCACGTCAACAAACTAGGCCTACCAAATTCGTATATATATAAATAAGGTTCCATAAATAGAATGTCGACCTCAAAAGACCTTGAACCTGGGCAATGGTAACCCTTTCATTTCACATAATTTTCATCATTTAGCTACCATATGGCCTCTAAACAAACATAATAGTCATTATGGTAAAGAAGTGTAAATACGTATAATGCATAATAATGATAATGTAAACAAAACGGACCCATTTCTACTTCCTGATTTTTAGTATTTCGCTAAACAGGTTGTTTCCGTTCTGCCCAGTGTAATTTCCTGCGAGTGCACGGGGCACGAAAGAAAGCCTAGGCACAAGTGCTATGCAAATTAGTGTTTATTATTTACGCCATGGCGACACGTCAGTGTTTCTTCATACATTATTCACTCAATCGATTACAAAAGTCATGAAAATACAATTTGCAATATCATCTAAATAAAATCGCAAAATTCCATCACTTGCGCGCGCATGTGCGACGAAACCGCCCACGAGATATCAACACTTGTTGCATGCAACATATATAAATAAACATACGTATATAAACTTTCAGTTAAATCGCAGATGCACGGTCCATTTACAAGCCTTGGTGGACACGAGAAAATCGCCGCAGGCAGACGTGAAACATTTCCAAGACCTACATTCTGAGGTCACGTTCTGTCTCGTTGTTCGTGGGATTCATTAGCCCACAGTCGACTACGGAATTTGGAAGAAATCTACCCAGGTTCCTGTCCAAGCAAGGTTATTGATGGTGCGTGCAGGAGAATGACCTACCTGGAATGCATGAAGGGATGTTTCGTTACTGTTACTTGCGATGTTTAGGCAACACATTAAGGAAAATAGAAGCACGTCCACCAGGACACTGATCTACTTCCCGCCATCTTTGGATCGATGAAATTTTCAATGCACATGCGCACTAGTGCCTTCGCGGCGGGAAGAGTAAATGCGGTCGATCACGTGGAACAGGTGGTTGACAAAATAACAGAAGTTCCACACGTGGGAAATAATTGCAGAACTCGGGAAAACATTCAAATTACCAGTTGTTATCACTACATCTTCTGTTTTCAACACTTTTACAATACTAGATGAAAATGGGACGAAGAGCAATGCTAAAACACGTCTTCTTTAATTTCCACAATCTTATATTGCCCCCAAACAGTTGCAATGCATGCATATTTCGTGTCACGTACCAGATTATTTTTAGGTCCGTGGTCGTATATTCTTGAATATCCATATTATCATTATACAATTACTTCTGTACAATATGAATAACAATGCCAGCGCTGATATTTGTTTCTGACAACCCACTGTCCTGCTTAAATGGCTAGCTATTTCTTAATTAATGACTCGGAGCTCCAGATAAGCTTTTGGTGTTGTGGGTATTTTTTATTTCCCATGCATTTTAAAATCATTGGGTATCAGTAATTCTATCCGGGTATTCAAATTTCTGTTACCCACTAGTTTTTACACATGTGGGTATTTAAGTTAAATATTTAAAAACACTATTCATCTAGTCCCTGCAAACTGGTGTCGTGTGGGTTCGAGAGCTTTATAGGACTCAAAAATACCACGATACTTCCACAAGAAAGTGTGATGGCAAATGATCATGATGTAAGTGTCATCGTGGAGTTTGGCAAGGTTGACGGTTGCCCGTTTATAATTTCAAAATAAGTTGCTGATCTGCTAATCGAATACACTGGGTTACTTCACAATATTTTGATGATACGCACAAGTTTTATTTTTGTAGCGTATCTGTACGCTTGGATATTATTTTACTGCGTATTTCTGCATTTCTGATGCGTATTTCACGCAGATACGCAGCTTATCTGGAGCTCTGTGACTTATATTTTATGCAACACGGGCAGTTGATATCATATTTAGTACTAAATGTGTTTACGTATTTCGAAATGTAGTTTGATAATAGTATATGTCCACTTGATATTAATTTAAAACGACAAACATTACGATGAGACTTAATTTCACCAACACGTCATATACGAACTAGAAAATTTGAGGCTCTTAATATACCTTCTACCATTTCAGTAATATAGGGAGCAAGGGGTTTCATGGGGTTCGACTTACTCAGGCGTTTTTCACTCAACAAACCCCTTTGTAAATAACAATTAGAATATCACGCCAATTTCCTAAATGTGAACCCCTCAATTTCAACATATTGTCAAATGAACCCCCAATTTTACTAAAGTTAAAAATTCAAAATGTGCCCCCTACAAAGTCCTGTAACTGAAGAAAATATTTGAAGATGGGACCCACCATCTCTCCCCACACCCATCTCCGGGCCCGTCTCTCTGAATTTACACTCACTGCAGGTGTATAAAAAATGAAATACAAATCTAGTTTATTCCAAAATCCAATGGCCCATTTATTCATTTCCGTTACATTCTAAATGTCCTGGCTGCTGTTATGGATTTGATTGTGAGAACACTCTGGCGGCTACAAACGTCCTCTTTACAGAGTTGAATAGTTTCATACTAACCGTCACACTGGTAACCAGGCGCCCATACAATTACATGATTTATTGGCTTGTACTGCCGCCATATTTGTCACTGGTAGTTCCTACCCGTCAAATGCCAGGGGACATAACGCAAAGTGAGCGCACATGGCTTCCACTTAGACTTGAAGCAGTCCCTGATTACAAAATAAATTAACAAGACAACAAATACTAGGTGTTTGTCATTGCATGTTCAGAATGCATTAAAATGTTTTAGAAATATTGTTTCAAATTATGTGTTATTTATCTGTTTGATGTTAGGCATTAATTCCATATTTTGAAAGAAGATGGAGACAGCTTCAGGCTAGGCCAGGCAAGATTAACCTCTTCAGACAAGATGTATATTTCCGGGATCCATCGAGCTTTCCCGAAGAATCTGAACAGTATAACCTCGTTATAACATTCACTTCCACACCGTTTTACCGCTAAACTCTCCAGGCCCAAGCGATCTTATTGCCACGTTGATCGTAACACCGTACTCTAACCTAGACTTACGATAATCAAAGCGCTTAGATCGCTTTGTGCAAGTGGGCCTTGATCAAGACATGCGTATAAATGTCAATGTTTCGAAAGTAAATACGTGTGTTGTGTAAGGTTTTACGCCGATTGAGTTATATTCATGCCATAATATAAATATATAGCTTCCACACCCCACCCTGTGAATACAACGTGACAAGTATTTCGTGTCTAAAATCGAAAATAGGTATGTCATATAGGCTTATGATGAATTAGTGAGTGTGAGTGAGTATGGTTTTACGCCGCTTTTAGCAATATCACGGCGGGGGACACCAGAAATGGGCTTCACGCATTGTACCCATGTCGGGAATCGAACCCGGGTCTTCGATGTGACGAGCGAACGCTGTAACCACAAGGCTACCCGACCGCCCCTTATGATGAATTAAAATATATACGTATACTGGAAGGTGTACTATGTATCAGGTATCAAATATTAATTATGCACATACCCACCTCTGATTTGTGTTCAAATTGGAAGAATATAATTAGGGAGACGGACATGTATATGTATGTTACTTCTGACTGAACCTTTCATTATTTGTGATGATAAAATAGGTTTGTTCATAAAAAGTGATTTATGCGTTTAAGTAGTAGTTTGTTTGTTGTTTAACGCCGCACTCAGCAATATCCCAGCTATATGACGGCGTTCTGTAATTAATCGATTCTGGACCAGACAATCCAGTCATTGACATCATGAGCATCGATCCACGCAAATGGGATACAATGACACGCATCAAGTAACTCAGCGAGCCTGACCACCCGCCCGTTAGTCTCCTCTTATACGACACAGTCGCCTTTTACGACAAGCATGGGTTGCTGAAGACCTATTCTACCCCGGATCTTCACGGGTCTTTAGTAGTAGTAGTAGTAGTAGTAGTAGTAGTAGTAGTAGTAGTTTTGAGTGGCAGTTTTGACACATTAATATGATTGGCTAATAAAGAACTCCTTTTATGTCAGTTTTAAAAAGTCATTTCATTCATCTCACATTTGTATAACACCAAATCAACAATACTATTCAGTAGTATAAGATATAAGATAACTTAAACCGTCCAATATAAAAAGGCATTAAATTCAATTCAATTCAATTCAATAATAGTATTTAGATATAAGTTAATCCATTAAACAGACACACGGATCCAGGATTTAAAAATTTGGGGTTGACCACTTGGGTCATTTGTAACTTCAAGAGCGGAGATCCAACCCACAAGCCTACCCAAATAATCACAAACACTATATGTAAACACTTATTAATAATGTTACTTTACCAACTAAATCAACATGTTATCATGGTAGGACATCCCAATACAAAATGTCAACAGATGTAAAACAGAGAAGGGGGGGGGGGGGGGGGGGAACACCCCTCCGGATCCGCCTCTGTTCATTGACTTATTTAATTTTGAAAAAAAACAACATATACTGAACCGCAAAAGAAACGTCACCACGGATATATGAGAAACCGTATTTGTCCTACCACTGTAAACATACTTTGAGACATATTAAAAAGATGAAACTTGGCAAAGTGATCACCATGGTTGATGTTTTGCGGTTCAGTATACTTCTGCTTAAGAAGTAGTCTGAAGATGATGTAGATATTTTAGTAGATAATTTAAGGCTGAAGTTCCAAAAGACATCATTATATATCTATTAGATCCAGTGACTGATTTCCTCTACTGTTAACATTCGACGATGCACGACTTCAGACACGTAAATGGACTTAATAATATGTATACTTCACAGAGTAATTATTTTCTGATGCATGATGACAGCCTGCGCAAATAGTGCATAGAAAATTATACCCATATTATCGGCAAATTGTCAACACGCCCTTAAAGGTATGCACCAATTATTGTACAAATGACATCTCAAGGTTAGAATTAGTCCCCAGTATGGTCCCCAGTATGGTCCCCAGAATGGTCCCTAGAATGGTCCCCAGTGTGGTCCCCAGAATGGTCCCTAGAATGGTCCCCAGTATGGTCCCTAGAATGGTCCCTAGAATGGTCTCCAGTATGGTCCCCAGAATGGTCCCTAGAATGGTCCCCAGTATGGTCCCTAGAATGGTCCCCAGAATGGTCCCCAGAATGGTCCCTAGAATGGTCCCCAGTATCGTCCCTAGAATGGTCCCCAGAATGGTCCCCAGTATGGTCCCCAGTATGGTCCCTAGAATGGTCCCCAGTATGGTCCCTAGAATGGTCCCCAGTGTGGCCCCGAGAATGGTCCCTATAATGGTCCCCAGTATGGTTCCCATATGCTTGTTGAAAGAATAGTCGACATTAGAAGTTCTACACCCATGTGCTATAGCAGATATGATGAAAGGTCAGTAAGTATGTGACGCCGTTTTACTATTCACTCCTTATGTTATGATATCAATATTTCATTAAATGACATCACAAAATGAATTACTGATATAAAAAAATCGATTTTATGGCGGCATGAAATAATTATTGACAAAATATGTATTGCTATCAAAACCTCGATTTGTAGATATCAATAAATGGATTATGATATCAAAAATGCTTTTTGTGATATCTAAAAAATATCTTATGATACAGACAATCGAATTTGTGATATCTTAAATTCAGAGGTATTATTGATATCGCAAATTCGATTTTGTGATATCAATAATTCATTTTATGATATCTTATAATCAAATGTGTGATATCAATATTAAACTGAATTACTCTTTTCACATTAACTGATCCCTTGCCTGTTCAAATTAGGATTGTTAAGCATAATAAATGTTACACTGTCTATTATTAATAATTCACAAACAAGCGCAGTAAAATATATTCAAGTTTTATGCAAGGCAGGCAGACAGACAACACTATTGTCGACCAATATCCTCTTTACTGTGGTTTGTACCAATAAGTGAATTAAAAAGACAAGAAAGTTCAAAATAATCGT